ACTCTTTGACTAAACTATCTCCAAATTCAGGCAAATAATTCGTCGTGAAACACTCCGGACTTTGGGTCGGCCCGCCCCTTGTGGGTTACTCTCCCTTTTAATCCATTGACAGTTTCATGGCAACCAGTGTTGATATTCGTGTTCGGCGCACCGAAATTACACAGTAAAGTGGGAAATCCGGAGGCGAAAGTTCGCCCGGACACTGCCTCTAGAAGGCGAAGACGCTGAAACATTAGCAGAGATAAAGATCTATGCCAACTTCCTCTAACGCTTGGATATTAGTTGTTGATTCCCTAATATCCCTTCCCTAATGTTAAAATATTAGGGAAGCTTCTTTCTCTTGCTACGAAGTAGTTCAGTGTAAGCTATTACAACTGTCCTAAATGCTTATGTTGTACAAAGGACAAAATGAAAAAAAGGTTGCTACTGATGTCATTACAGCCGAACGTGTCTGTTCGCAAGATGGCTAAGCAGATCACCATATCTGAGACTTCCATGGACCAATTGTCAAGGAACGTTCAAAGAAGAAAGCAAGAGGGGAAAAACATTTGCTACTCAGTAACAGAAAAAAGAAAACTCCAAAACTAAGCGATTTCCACCACTTTTATAAACCCCTCCACATCTGTACCAAGCCGGTAGAAGTTTTTTTGAAGATGGATATTTTGTTTTCTGTTTTCTTTTTGTGGAAAATAAATCTTGTACCTTAAGGTAACGAGAATACGTGGAGACTCGTTGAAGTTCTGAGCACTTTGTCTAGTGCTCAGAGCTTCAATGTTAGTCTTGCCGCACATTGTTTAACTCACTACCGTACGAAGTTAGGAGAAGACTCGCCGAAGAAAAGCTAAGTTGAAAATTTTTGATGAAGGAAGTGTCTATGATGTGTACACTCATATTATCAAACCTTGATTGAATAGGGTCATTCCAACGTACCTGGTTCGGTACAGTAATGCTGAATGATGCACTTCTTTGAGATAAGACACGATTTTCTGAAGGAAGTGAACTTGCTGAATCTGACTTCTTTACTGTCTGAGGTACTTTTTCAAGCGGCTGTGGTTGAGCCATATCGGATTCTTAACAGTACAAAGCGACATTTGATAATTTTCAATAGGGTGCAATTACTTTATATATGGGAGAATTACAAACAGAGGAATGAGCTACCTTCGCTCTTCATACCAATCAGATGTGGCTCATCTTCTTTAGAGGGCTTGATTTTGTCGCAATCACTATCAACGGGAGATTTCGGCCTCTCATTATCAATAGGAGATTTCGGCTTCTCGACCACCGAGTGATCCTGCGAGAAACAGTACCAACGCAATATGTTTCGAGAAAAAAATTTTAGGCAATACCTAAGAAACTTACATTATAACCAATAGTTTCCTTGTTAACCACCTCCGCTATTGGAACACCAATAGTATTGATATCGTATAGAGATGAGTGCTAAATATCAGCATTCATATTAGCAATTTTACATTGTCCGATAGACAACTAATTCAGAAATGCAGATATAGTACATTGCCCAGCTTGTTCTTGTTAAGAATTTCCAATAAGTTGCTTGGATATTGCTTTTACCATTTACCATGTAAAGGTTTCCGTATCATCTTCTTAAAGGCAAGAGTTCTTTCCTCCCCTCCTCCCCATTGCTTGCTAAATATGCCATTGGTAGCTCTCATAATTAAGGACTACGTTTAAAAAATATGATTGAGATGTACAAATTGAGAAAGGATCAAATCTGATGTCTCACGCATCAAAACGGGTTTATAGCTCTAAAACCTCCTTCCGTCTATCTTCTAGCTTAACTTTTTTTTAAAATGAATTATATTAGTGAAGCTCCTAAGTGCTACTTTCGAAGAACTCACCATTATCGCAAAATCGAGTAAGCGTCCCAACCAAATCAGGTAGAGGGTTGTTTAATCCTACACTGCTGCGCTACCAATCACAATCCAATGATGCAAACTTTTACAATGATAATATGTATCAAATACATGCTGTGATAT